AGAATCTATTCCCCATCCATTCTTTATGGCAGAACAGAAGGGACATGCTGACTGGGCTCATTTAGAATAAAGCGGTCTTGTAAATTTTTTAAGTAACCAATGTTTTGTATTTAGGGGTGTCTCTGTGCGTTTCTCCCAGTAAATGAATGCATTAATCTCGAGGCCCGGAAATGTGTGTATTCCTGTATTCCAGTGAAGGAAGCTGTGCCTCCTTTTGAGGAATTTGTCCCTCAATATTGTGCTGTGTGCGCCTTTATCACACCCAGGGAGAGGGTCTCCCATTAGGGAGGGTTCCTCACACACAAAGGAGATGAAGGAGGGGGAAGGGAAGGATGGAAGAGAGGAGAGACTGCTGCTGATCCTGTCTCCATGGTAACCAGCCGCAGCAGCAGGACCAGGCGGGTCTGGCTTCCTGCGCGCGCCCGACAGTTTCGTCCCTTTGGGAGGCGTGCGCGCGCACACTCCCTCACAGGCTCCGTGCAAAGTACGGGATCTGTTTTTCTCCGAAGAAGGTGCGGGGGCGCGCAGTCTCCGCCCCTCGCCATTAACTTTGCACGGCGCAATACGGTGAGTTGCCGACGGCAGGCGCTGCAAAGCATTGCTGAGTCACCCAGGGCTTTGCATTGCACGGCTTCAGGGCCTCCGCTGCTACTGCTCATTGCATTGGGTAGGGAAGTGACAGCTGGGACTTTACTGCTACGAATGCAATTGTCATTGTGCAATATATGATGGGGACTGCAACATTGCTAGGGTGTCACCGGTCACGGTGCAGTATACACAGTAATAGTGCACCGACCACAAACACATGATCGGTGCAATGCAGGGTGACAGCTGTCACACTGTTAACCTGCTGCTGATCAGTGCTGCACGGCTCACACAGTGATCGCGTGCACAGTGCCATGCGTCTGCTCTCTCCGCAGGTGTCCGCCTGTCTAATCCATCGCACCGGCTGAGCAGCCTGCCCAGCAGCAGCACTTCCCCCTCCCTTCTCCTCACGTGACCCTGCTCTCCTGACAGCTCCCCCTGCGCGTCCCCGCCGCTCGCTCCCGCCTCCCTCTTGCTCCTCCAGCTCTGCGGACCAAGCCGACACCGACACCGGCCAGCACCACCAGGACAGCAGCGGCCAGGTACCCAGCGAGCATGCATGTGGTATGAATCCGGGGGTCAAGTGTAGAAGTCATAGGGGCTGGTTTTCAGGGATGCAGATGTGTGTGCACCGTGCATGCATGGTTATCCTGTACAGCACATGTGATGGGAGGCTGATCTGCTCTGCAGGATCAGTGATTTATAGCTGCTGATGATATGCACTGGCCTTCCCTGGTTCTAGGTAGGTGTGGAGGATGGAGCTGTCATTGCACATGGAAGTCATAGTATAGTGCACGTGAAGCATCCATTGTATGTCTGCACATGACAGCTGTGCACTGATCTATGTGTGTGTGTGCGCGCGTGCGCATGTATGTAGTGTGTGTGTATATGTGTGTGTGTGTATATGTGTAATATAGATATATATATATATATATATATAGATATATCTATCTCTATCTATCTATCATTGTTTCATTGCCATTACCTATGCACCTACCCCCAATCACCGTGCACCCTTTTGCATCCATTACCCTTTTCACGGTTGCAAAGCGAGAACAAAGAATGGGATCTCCTGAAGCTCCCCCCCTCACAACAACCTTCAATATCTGGAATGAAAGGGTTATGTCAAGAGGTTCCTTAAGCCCGACATGTGGTGGCACTGAACAGGTTCAGCGATGAATCGAGGCGGCGTATTGTGACATGCTGCTGCGAGGTGTGGCAGATAGTCTCGGCTGTCTGTCCTGGGCATAGAAGGGGTTAATATCTGCTCATCTGCATCCCCCAATCCTCGCCTTGCACATACGTGTTCTGGTTGCATTGTGTGTAGGTTAGAGGTTGGCACATGAGTGACCAGGTTTCAGATCCATTGTGAAGGCGAGCCGGGTATTGTTCTATGACCTATGCGATGCCGAAGGACATGGGAGCGTTCGCCTGCACCCGCTCCAGTGTCCCCTCAATCCTCGTGCAGTCTGTTCTGGCATGTCACGGCGACATAATCTTGATTAAACGTTGAATTACGGATGGCTGACTTGTGCTGTGCCAGCGTTTGGCGCCAGCAGCATGGCTCTAGAGGGGCGTTGGCATGGCGTGGCCATTACTCTGTGCGGTAGGTAGGGCGCAGGAATTTCACATTATGCTCTCCGCACGCCCAATATTACCATTTCCCAATATTCTTTTTTGATTGATTAGAATTTGGACGCTACAGTAGCGCCATACAAAGCGCTGGGCACTTTTTTTTTTATTGGATTTTTTGTCATTTTTTTTATTTCTTGTTTTTATTTTTGCTAACAATGATCCGCATGCCGTGACCGATAGTGACAGCGCTTTTTTTTTTTTTTTTCTCCCCGATATTGTGCATGGACACACCCCTTGCAGCACAATGTCGCTCCACTTTGCAGATGTTCGCCTATCTCTCTCGCACACAGCAGTTCGCGTTGCGCCCTCCCTGGCTGTATCAATCCCGGCTTTTGTCTCTCTTCGGTCCTTCAGAGCCCCTCCGCCACATCTGTTGGTAGTTTACTCTCCCAAACCATTTAGCGTTCTTTTTTTTCCTTGCCTCCCTCCCCCCCTCTTCTAGAATACACAAGGGGGGCTGACGCTGTCTCTTGTCCCTGGCTTTGGCAATGCATTTTTTTCCCTCCTCTCTCGCTCTTTGTGTTACACAACAGCCAAAGCATTTAATTCTGGGTTTAATATCCCCGCTATCGAAAGCCGCAGATTTGTTGTCAGCACACCAATAATATCCTTTTGTCTCATCGTCTGCTTCCATAGCGCTCGGCGAGCTTGGATGGATGCGAGATATTCCTCAATGCGCCTATTAAACGGAATCTTTTTCTTTATGTGATCCTAGAGTAGGATTTTGTTTATTTTGCAGCACGGCGATGATTGCTTTTTTTAAATTTTTGGGCGCCTCTGTTTTATTTTTAGAAAGCGATCATTGGATGATGGATATAGTTGTATGCCGTAGGAGCGCTGAGTGCCTGCACATGAGGTCATCCGCGTGCCAGTTTTATTAATTGACTTGAATTGTATTGTGTTTTTTAAAACGATACAAGCGTGGCGGCTCACGGCGAGCAGACCGCTGGCCTCCTTCTGTAACGTGGTGTTGCAGAATGCTGATTTTGTTAGCGGTAACCCATAGCAACTAGTCAGATTGCATCTTGTACCGGACTGACGTCGCAAGAGTAGATTTTAATTGGTTGTTCTGGGATAATTAGTCTGCTTGGTCGCTATGGCGCTCATCTTTTAGTAACGCTGACTGCAAACTCATCGCTTTTTCTCTGAACGAGAAAAAAAATGCATCCACGCTGATTTGCATCAGCCAGGCTATTGTATGGTACCAGCCGGCTGGGGTGCTGCTGTCAGAATACCCGAATAATGACTGCAGGCTGCATCTCATTGGGTCACATGCCGACGGCATGTCTGCTGCCCCATTTCCTGCCAGAGTGTCGCAGGTTGCTAAGTGCTTTGATGCAACCCCCCATGGTAATGTGCACCACCAGCAACCTACCGCCCTGGCCTCAGGCGGCATCTCATTGAGTCACATGCGTGGCTGCATGCCTGCTGCCCCCATTTCCGGCCAGAGTGTCCCAGTTTGCTAAGAGCTTTGATGCAACCCCCCATGGTAATGTGGACCACCAGCGACCTACCGCCCTGGCCTCAGGCGGCATCTCATTGAGTCACATGCGGGGCGGCCATTTTCGGCCAGAGTGTCCCAGTTTGCTAAGAGCTTTGATGCGACCTCCTACGGTGATGTTCACCACCAGCAACCTACCGCCCCGTCCTCGGGCGTTAAAGTGTAGGGACACCACTAACGGCAGCAGAATTGTTTGACTGGCTCCTTTTTGACAAAAGTGGATTGGGAAATGTTAGATGGAAAATCATTGGGTGCCGACAGGAGCCCTTCAGCGGTCAGACTTTGAGCAGTGCAAGGCCAGCTTTAGGGCCCATTTGCACCCAATGTGTTTGGGTGCCTTAATACTAAACGCATACTCAAAGAATCAATTACTTTCAATGGGTGTAGTTCACACCATTGCGTTGACGTTTTAAAAAAGTAGAGCAGACTGGATGTTTTCGTTACAACGCGCTTGTAAGTGTGTATTAACGCAACACGTGAGAATGCATCCCTTGAAAATTTTTAAGAAAAAAAAAAAAAAAAAAAAAGCATTGCCAGTGCTTCTAAATGCCATTTTTCTGTGACTGGGCCCTTAGCCTTAAAGATTTCTGTGCTAATGGAGCTGTTGCCCATAACTCAGAAAATGCTGACTTACTGAGGCAGGGCAGAGTGCAGTAACCCACGGCAACCAGACTTGTTTACTGCATTGTTTTTTTTTTTTAGCACACACAGGGCTTGTCTTCACTGGCGGACCGGGCAGTTTTTGTGCGCCCTAAATCCTCCTCTTACAACCACAATAATGCAAACAATAGGCATAGTACACACACAAGTGACAGCGTTGCGGGGCCTCAAAATGGCTGCAAAGTCCAGAGTTGAAGGATGGCAACGTGGGGCAACCTTACAACTTCCCAGCCCAATGGCAGTCACACGTAAAATAAAAGCGCAATGGTGCTTATAAATGCAAAAAAACATTTGCAAGTGTTTTTTGAGCGCCAGTGGAGACGGGCCCATAGGATGGACCTGATTTGGTAATTTAGAACTCCCCGGCCTCATAGACTGTAGCATAGGTTACTTCAATGCCATTACCGTAGGATTTGCCAAAACCATTATCGTGGAATTTGAAAAGCATTGGGAGACTTTTTGGCAATTAGACTTGCATTCTCAATTTGCACGGATGCATTGTGTGGATTTCCCATAATCCACCTGTCCATGCGCCTTGTATTCTTGGTGTCCTTTTTGTTCTGCCGGTGAGGTGAAGGGCCATTAGTCTCCCTTAGCGTAGACAGGAGCATTCTCCATTTTTCCTGAAGCACCGGCTTCGTCTGTCGGTCACGTGGCCGCCTTTTTCTGCTGAAAGACGGATTATGAGGGAAATATCTCCTTTTTAGCAGGCACGCGCGTCCAATGAATCCTCTCGCTTTACCCGAGACATGCCAGGAATGGGGTCCGCTGGTCGCTTTACTAGATATTTGTAGTCAGGAATATGTGAGGAGTGTATTGTCTATAGAATCGTGAGGCCAGTCAGCAGGATTTGTATGGCGGACAAGGCCTCATCTCCATGGAGACGGAGCTAGGACCAGACGTTGATATTGACTCCACAGTATGGGTGTCCTCCTAGAGCTGGATGAAGCCATGCTTCCAGATGGTCACGTCAGGTATAAGATTACCACAGACACTTCGATTTTTGTTCAGTGTTTTATGATTCAGAACAAATGTCTGTCAGTCCTTTTCATAGAATCATATCCACCCTTCCCTTCTCTTCATGTAGTATTGGGGCGTCTAGTTGCTGCAGACATAGACTGCATGAGATGGTGATTTCCTCACACACAGGACCAAGCGTCATTTAGGACAGGGACTGACAGGACCTTGCGTCACTTAGGACTGGGACTTACAGGTAACTTGAGCCACTTAGGACAGGGAGTAGGCACTGACAGGATCTTGTCATTTAGGACAGGGACAGATGGAAGCTTACATCACTCAGGACAGGGATTGACAGGAGCTTGTGTCCTTTAGGACAGGGACCGATGGAAGGTTACATCACTCAAGACATGGACCGATAGGAGCTTGAGTCACTTTGGACGGGGACCTACCCGAGCTTGTGTCACTTTGGACGGGGACCAATAGGACCTTGTGTCACTTAGGACGGGGAATGACCGGAGCTTGAGTCACTTAGGACAGGGCCTGGCAAAACCTTGCGTCACCTAGGACAGGGATCGACAGGAGCTTATGTCTAAATACACAGATAAATATAGTCATTGTACCTGCCATCGTATTTCTGTCAATCCAGTCCTGAGAGTTACACCGCTCTGCCAACGAGCACAGCCCTGCCTGTCGGCGCAGGAGACTTAAACTTATTTTCTGCTACATGTAAGCACACTTAGGGCTGGTTATAGTGAGCAGCTGCTCTCTGCTGGGTGGCAGCGGTGT